TTTGAGAGCTGTCACTCCAGGGCATGAATACAGTTACCAGCTACAGTGCAGAAGACTGGACTGTTGATGGTTTTTTTTGTTAGAGGTCTTCCTCTGAATCATTTAACTGGATGTGAAAACTAGGTTACAGTTGTGTGTTATTTGCACCACGTGTTGTGGTTCTCTCTCTGCCTGTATTTTTGTGATTCAGCATATGGAGTGTGATGCAACAATCATTGGAAACTGTTGCTGTTAAACTTTTCAGTCTTGTTCCTATTTTACGTTGCTGTCATCTTGAGTAAGGAGCGGAGTCAAACGGAAATTAATTCTGACCCTTTTATACTGGGCCACTAGAGGGGCAGTCACTGCAGGTGGACTTGTGTCTATTTGCTTCTTACCAGTGTTCTCCTTTGACTGATCTTTATTTCCATGTCTTGGCTCTTTTGTCTTGACCCCATAATTGCATCTCGGTAGAGCTTCATTTGCTTTCATTGACCAGAAAAATCTGCTTGCTCACCAGAGTGCCACATCTAGGACCTTATATGTTAAAATCCAAGCAGGTTAAACTTTAAGTGGGTAATCTTGCTGCTTGTTTGTACAGCACTGTATAAACTGACAGCATTGCATGCCATCAATGATTTATAATTTATATTGCTGGAGGATGTTTAATTCCCTCACAGTCACTCATCAATCTTTTATTCTATACATATTTGATTAAAACCAAATTTTCCACAGTTAATATTGCTTCTGTCCTTCCCTGCCCTTTCCTTTGGTATCTTAGCTTTTCTTCCTTTGTCTTTGATTATCATCTCCTATTTCAACCCTTGCCTCTCATGCTCTTTCTCTGGGATTTTTCTGTGATCTTAAGAATCGATTGCATTCCCCTGGGCATAGAAGACTTGGTGTATAGGGAGATTCTGACATGTTTTTGTGAGTTCTTTTCTTTGGGCAATATATAAATAGACTCTTCTTTCATATCAATCAACGAATAAATGCAAAAGCTGGGGACAGCTGGCATTGCCTGTCAGAGGAATACCTGATAATTCTGTCATGCTTGAGAGCAGTGATGTATTAACACTGAATTATTCTCTGCTGTCCTCTTTGCTATTTGTGTGTCTGGAGTTTGTGTACCCAAACTGAGAGGTTACTGCCTGGGGTGCAGTGACCCTCTGTCAGTGGTCACTCAAAAGGTGATGTGTGTTGTCAGTCAGGAGGCCAGAGGCAGCTCAGCACACCCAGGAGCTTGTGCTCACTCTGCAGCAGCACACGTGGGGACAGGGAATCACAACGCCCTGTTCTGTAACAGCTGATGCAGTGACAGAACAGCATCCTAAGTCTTGAAAAAGACCCTGTGGCACTTGCACCACCAGCTTTCTAAGACAAGCAGCTGCCTTCTGTGTGCTCCCATTTGACATCACAGAAGTAGGAAAGAAAGCAGCACTTCTCTAAATACAGGACATAAGTAAGAATCTTATAGGCACCATAAGAGAGACACTGACAATACTGGATATGCTATTTAGAATGGATAAAATTACGAGTTTCTGGGGGTTTCTTCACAAGAATTATATAAAAGCAGTTGGTAAGAAATGTGATTCTGACTGGTGCTGATGTGAAGAGTGGGGGTTTTGTTTGGTTTTAGATGGTAATTTAGTGGTTCAATATAACTATAATTCTTTCATTTTTTTGGCTTAGAGTTGTGTAGGTTGCTGGTAAGTTATGTGAGTGCATGGGATATGAGGACATAGCTTTCACTGCAGGAAGTGAACAGTTCAGCATGTAAGTGACAAGCACAAAACTCTGCTCCATGTTCAAATATGCAAAACTATGTTCAAATATATTCAGTGAGCTCAGAGCAGAAGCTGGGTGGAGGCTGTCAGTGCATACTGATATGTATTGACTGCAGCAGAAGAGGGAAGGTTTATTTTACTTTCTCACAGTTAAACTCACAAATATTTGTATATATATAAGCTCTAAGTTTACCAAATGCGTAGTGTTTTATCATCCCACAATGAAATGTCATCCCTAAAGAAGGCTGTTTCCTTTCTCTCTTCCCGAGTGAAACGTGTCCTTACCTTGCCTCTCTTTTGGATTGAACAGAAGTCAAAAGATGCGTGACCCACATACGTGTCCTGAAGGGAGTCAGTGCATCCAAGCCAGCAGATGCATCTTGCAACTTCCAGAGGTGAGAAACAGAGCTAGAAAACTTTGTCACTTTATTTCCTTGTACCCTTTGATGCTGCTGCACATTAGGAAATCCCTGTTCCAAATCTGGGAGATGGATTACACTGCCGGTGAGATGCTCAGTTCCACAATGCAGCAACTGAGTCCCTGGCCAGGAAACACATACTGGAGTTCCCCAGCTGCTCTTTAAACCTGAGGGAGAGCTTCATTCTGGCAGTAAATAGTGGCACATCTTGTATGAAGACAGTGATGATGGTTGTAGAGAGTATTGCATATACACAGGAAATTCCACCTGAATATGAGGAAGAACTTCTTTGCTCTGTGAGTGACCACACAACTGGAACAGGTTGCCCAGAGAGGTTGTGGAGTCTCCCTCACAGAAGATACTAAAGAACTGTCAGGATGTAATCCTGTGCTCTAGGATGAGCCTGCTTGAGCAAGCAGGTTGGACCAGATGATGCACTGTGGTCTTTTCCAACCTGACCCATTGTGTGATTCTGTGATACACAGATCTTCTCCTTAGCACTGAAGACAGGTACATTTTGCCCTAAAAGGGATTGTGCTGTAGAGAGAAGATAAATTAATTAGAGGCTTTATGGAGACCAAGGAAGATGAGACAAGGCAGTGGGGCTCAGAGCAGAACAAGGAAGTGCCTCAAAACTTTGAATTGATGAGGCTGAGAAAGAAGACTAAATTGTGCCTGCCTGTGTAATTTAGATTCGTCTTTTTCTGCCTCTGGGACAGAAGCAGCTGCTATCGCAGCCCTGGGGAGGATAGTTTCTTGTTTTTACAAGGACATGAAATCAATCTCCTAGGTAATTTCTATCTCTGAGTGATATATTATTTGGCAAAATAATTCTATATTAAGGGTGAATAGAATGTGCCAGAAGGTGAAAAAAAATCTATTGCTACCAAGTGAAAGTCATGAATTATGATGTCATGATTAGCCAGCATCGAATATAAATAGTTGCATCAAATTCACATCAGGGCAGTTTTGTGATTCTGAAGGAATACTCTGGAGAGCTGGGCTAAGTATGGCTGAGCCGTAAGTAAGGGTTGTGGTCTAAAATGAGCTGTTCCTCCTGCGGCTGCTGCTCAGAGCGTGTGTGAACGGCACAAAGCAGTGCTGTTCCACTCCATGACCCGGCTCCAGTGAAGGAACTGGAGGCAGCTCAGAGGAGTCTCACCAGCTTTGCAGAGAAGCAGAATATGTTGATCCAGCTGGACTGCTTTGCTGTACCTCTGACTCCCAGAACCTATACTGGGTTCTGTAATCGGTGCTGTTCTGGTGTATGAGTTCACCTGGAGTTAGTCTGAGGATCCACGTAACACAGCCCTCCCCTGAGTGCAGTGCATGCAAAGCAGTCACTGAATTTTGTTTTTAGGTAAAGTCAGCCTGCCATTTTGATGAATGGTTTTAATCACTGGTGACTTTATCAGCGTTAAAGAAAACACTTAAGAAGATTCTACTGCTGAGTAATTCCTGAACAGTGAATTACTTTGCATCTCATGTTTCAGATCAATATAGTGAAACAATACCAAAAGGGGTTTGTAATATGGATTTAATAGGAGTTACTTAACAGGCACTTCTTCGGATTAGCTTTTGTCACTACTGGCAGACTAAGATCTAAGTGTGTGTAACTGAGGTTCCAATAGCAAAGAATCCTTCAGTATAAACAATGTGGGTCATTAAAGCTTCCTAGCATTTAATTATCACTAATTAGCAACTAAGTGAGGTAACATCTTATGCAATGGACTCTTAATATAGTGAAGGATAGCTCTCCCTGCGTCATGGAGAGCAGATGGGCTGGAAGGCAAAGGGAGGGGGGTCATCCTGGTTGAGACTCAGCTAAATATTCAGCTGTAGTCTTTTGGCAAAATCAGGTATCAGTGTTACAGCACTGCTGAAATAACATGCTTGGTGTTTAACTGTTGTGTGCACACAGGGCACTGAGGGATCCTTTGGCATCGATAACGAGGAGTATGAAGCTATGCCTGTGGAGGTGAAGCTGTTACCCCGGAAACTCCGGTTCTTCTGCGATCCCAGAATGAGAGAGCAGTTGCTCCGTGCAGCAGTACAATGAGAATCCATGTCAGAGGGGCCAGTGTTTACCAGTCTTACCAGGGTCTCTTCAAGGTGCATGAGACCTCACTAACTTGATTAACCCCAGCAGACTAATAAGCCTTTTGGCTGCTTTTACGCACAAGGTACTTCCATTGCAAGTGGATGATTTGACTGGTCTCAAAGGGGTTAAAAATGCAAATGAAAATTCTGAGAAATGCATGTTAACTTGATGGCATCTTTTTTTCCCCCCTCCCTCTGAGAAGTCATCAGTGTTCCATTTACAGCACTGCAGGCTGAGTGCTGTGTGCCAGATGCTACTGCTGTAATGCAATTGTATATTAAAGTAAAACAAAAGCACACTTGTTCTTGTGTTCTAAGAGTTTAGGACTGCTTTACCTATGAATAAATCTGGCAAAACCTGGGATCCTGGAAAAAAAATTATTTTGGGGGGAGTGATGCTAAGGAATTCTATCAAGTGTTGGAATTGCCACGTTAAAACAGGTGGTTTGTTATCCGCTCCATCACAAAATAAATTGGAGATCGGTGATACCAAGCTTTGGAGCAAGTTTAAAAATTCTCCATATGTATCTGGATAAGATATTTATGTCAGTCTTTTTCAGCTTGCCAGATTCAACAGCACAGAGTTCCAGTAATAATATAGTAGAAATATATTCCTTTGATCAAGTTTAGGCATATTACACAGAAGCAAATTGGAAAACATCATTGACCCAAAGCTGTATGAAGAACATGTGGAAAGACTCTTTAACAAGCTGAATGAGTCTTCTTTTGTAAGTATTCCTTTTATTCCTGTAGTAATATAACACAAATAAGGGCATCCAAATAATTTTTATTATTCATTGTGTCTGGTTGCTCTCTTCTAATGTAAACAGTGCTCACCACTCCGTATGCAATCTATATCCCCTTGAGCCTCAGTACCTTAATTAGTTTTGTTGCTTTTCTGAGATTTTGTTTATAGCTTTTCTTTAATTGCTGAAAGGAAGTATTGACTTAGGCAAGGTTATGTGTTGCCCTTCTCATTGTAGCTTATAAATTCACATGATTCTGCCTTGCTTACTGGAAGAAGAAGAATTCATTCCCCTTGTTTTTCTGATGTGACTTGCTTGTCTGTAGTCCCTGTGTTACACTGTGATCCAGTCTAAGGTTATCTGCTGACTCTTTGCTGTAATCAAAATACGAACTTTAGTGACTTGACTTCCAGCTGCTTTTTTTAAAGACTGCATTCTTGGCTACACGCTGCTCCACTGGCATCCTCTGCTGGAGACTTCATAAAGGAAAAATGCCTTGAAAGGGGAAGCAGGGTTGGGTTTCTGCATGATGCTGGAACTACACTGATTGCTCTCCTTCCCTGGACTATTCTGTGGAGAAACTAATTACCTAAACTAGATGATCTTTAAAGCCCCTTCCAACCCTAACCATTCGTGACTAAGATCTCAGGGAGTAGAAGCCTGCTAGTTCTTTTCAGTAGTAATGCTGGTGATAGGTCCTGTTTTGTGCTGTCTTTCTTTTGGTTTGCAGCAATTAAGAGTGCCCAGTGGACCCCCTGGGTCACTCTCCAAGGAACATGTTGGCTGTGCTCTGCTCTTTTTGCTTGCCACAGAGACACCTGGGATGTTGCCCTGCAGCCACTGGCTCATTCAGAGTCGGGGCAATTCCCACCAACAGAGTTTTTCCTTAAGCTGATATTTCTGTAATAAAATCAGCAATATGTTTTTTCTCAAGTGGCAGGAAAGACAAGGCAGTAGCCATTTCAAAAAGGTAAGCTTTAATTGTTTTAAAAAATACCCATGTTTTTAGTAAGCAGTTTCTCTACAGAGCCACAGGGAGCAACCACACATCTGCAAGATGCAAACAACTTCAGAGCTGTTAGAACTACAACCAGCCTGCTGCAAGGGGGGAGATGATAAGAACTAGCTCCTTGTTCATCTGTAGCATTTTACAGGGAAAACAATTAGTTCTCTTCCATAGCATCAGATGCACAGCTCCCATTGCAATGTGATTCCTTGCTTGAGAGTAACCAAGATCTCCCTTCAGAATTGGTGTTGTTAATGCTGTTCTGATGTTAAAGTACCAAGTATCATCTGAGACACAGGCTGATATTTAAATATTCATATCAGCATAAGTTGAGTAGCTTGTATAAATACCCTTCAAGTAATTTTCCTCCTTCTGCAGTTCAGGGTTCTTCCAGTATGGGGTGGTTCTAGACCTCTAAACTGCAACGTTCAGAGGGGAGGTGTGAGGCAAACATTACATAAAATAAGCAGGGGCTGAACCCGCTATCTACAGTGTTGAGAAAAGGATTCAGTTCTCATGTTTCTGTCTGACAGCAACACAGAAAACCTCTTTGTACAAACTCCCAAGACAGGAAGGAGGAGTAGAATCCTAGGTCCCACTAATGAAAACACTTACTCTGGCTTAAACCTACAGTCCATTTTAGGAGGGCTTAAAATACTGTAACAAAAATAAAAAGGAAGGATAACAACCTAATGATGGACCAGCCCAAGGCACCTGTTTATTTTGACCACAATTAAACATTCCCATTTAAATGGGTGTGTTGCATTAGCCAAGACCTGAAATCCTTGTTCACAGGCATTTAGTACCACCTGTTTTAGACAGACAGATCACACTGTTAAGTCAGTACATTTGACTCCCTCAAAATGGGCATTTATGTTGACTTCTCCTATAATCACTACACCGCTGGCTTTGGGGAGGTGGAAAGAAGACAGCAGCTAACTTAGAAGTAAGGGCTAGGACAAGAGTTTGGGTTAGTGTGCATGCTTTGTACCTAGACTTTTATGTTAGGACAGAGTGCTCTTGCCCTGCTATTCCAGAAACCCCTGCCTTTCCACCTCCCAGAGTGAAGCTTCCCTGTCCCTTGCGTAGTCTGTCACTAAGAGGACCACAGCTACTCCCAGCTTTTTGCTCATTAACTTGAACAGTTTTTAAAAAGGAGGAAGTATTACCATAACTCTGCTTTACAGAATAACCTGTACAGTAAGGTACTTTCTCTTGAAAAGGTGATACAACTTTCTTCTGCCCCTAAGGGTGCTGGACAGGCGAGGACTCCTGAGACAGATGACCATTAGCTCCTAAGATACATTGCAGTAACTCCTTCATGTATGCTGGAAAAGAAGGTCTGTAAGACAAATCTGAATTCTGATTCCATAAAGTGCCTTTCTCCTGGTATCCATTATAATTCTTAATTGGTTTTATGCAGCTTGGCCTAACCTTGCAGTGAGAAGGCTTTTGGATAATTTAAATGTCTGGTGTGTGTCCCTTGTTCAGATTGCAAATCCAGCTTTTCCTTCTCTCCCAAGCTTTACCCTTCAATCTAGGTAGTAAAAGTAGTAATAATTCATTGCTCAGTGATCCATTTCTAGTGCAGCTTGACTTAAGATACAGTTATGAGGCTCTTGTTCTCCTGGTTAAACTCAAGCAAGTACCAGCTGAGAACCTGCAATGGCTGTACAATGACTGGGACTGGCTACCAGGGCACAGGATACCCCTGGTTACTGTAACCACCATTCAGCCTGGGCTCTGATCACAGCAACTAACCAGAGGTGTTAAACCAAAGAAACAAAAGGCACCACTGTAAAGGCAAAGTACTTTGAATGGAGGATTTCATACTAATCAGCAATATCCTAAGTTATGCCACACTTTCCTCCCTCTTTTAATTCAAAATAACCAGGTAATTCTCTCCCATCCAGCTGCTAGCATTCAGCAAAGCAACTATTGAGTTGCTTTTTAAATGTATTTTAAATGTCTGCACTTAACTGTTTTACCTTGAATTATGTTATCTCCTGGAATGATAAGACTCAGTTAAACTGGTTCCATGCAAAACCAGCCTCATGAACAGGCCTTCATGTCCTAAGCCATAACCATTTGTTTGTACAGTGTACCCACTTATCAAGCATTTTCCACATGCAACAACAGTAAAAGCAGTGTCTTTTAGAAAAGGAGTGCAGGTGGAAAGTACTTTTGCAGCAATTCAAATAAGGAAGTGTTAGGAGAGAGAAATCTTTTTGTTCTGTGTTCTGTCAGGCAACTTCCTGACTTCTGTAGCAGTCACCTGGCAAAAGAGGCTTGGTAGAGAAGTAAAATTACAAGGAAGAGCAGATAAGCTATAGCCATCCAGCTGGATGTAGCATGGGTGTTCTACGATAATCTGCTTGCTTTGATGCTTCTGCACCCATACTACTGCTAACAACTGAAGACCCAGTTTCTGGAAAACAGGTTTAATAAATGTCAAATGGTAATTTCTGGAGGTTCTGCTCAGTGGGGTCTAGCAGTGCTGGGTACTGGACCTCATGTTCTAACAGCTTGTGAACATGGTGCCCTAATGCAGGGGTGTTGGAAAGCCTCTGACTGCAGTGGCTGTAAAATTTCAACAAGTTTAAGGTTTGTGGTCTGTTTAGTTTAGCAAAAGAACTACTGACAAAGAGAATAGAAAGTCATTAACAGCTGACCACAGCTGAACTATGTAGCAAACCATCAAGAAAGTCAGAGGAAAATTTCCTAGAGACTAGTTTCAGGTTTGGTTTTTTTGGTGGAAGTGACAGCAATACATTGCCAGCTCTGTTTCCTCAGGGATTGTATCTGCAGGCAAGATGTTAAAACTAAAGTGGAAGTTAGAGAACAAAAGCTTGCAGATTGTGGGTCACTTTTATGCTTGAGGTGTCAATTTAAAAACAAAGCCATTTCTTAAGCAAGAGACTGGTCTTTCCATTAAATGATACTCAGCTGTTTTTACCTCTTTCCCCATTTTTTCTCTGCAACCTCCTAAGGATGATGATGTTACAGTTGTGAGCAATTGACAAGCAGCAGCATGTTTTCTTCTGTACAAAAACATCCAAAGCCTTGAAAAAGGGGGCAGGGGAGTGACTACTGGCTGAAGGATTTGGGGCAAAGCAGTATGTCACACCTGGAACCCACAGTACCATTCTTGGATTTTGCATGGCAAAGGGATTACTCTTTACTGGGATAGCCTTCCTGGAGGTAATGACCGGTCCTTCATGAACTGAATCTTATTCTTTCCACATCATAAAAATAAGAAAAACCACTGTTCATCTGGTTCTACAGTTCTGCCCGTGAAAAAGAAAGACTTTCTGTTAGACATTGCTTCTAGTGGTTGTGCCAGTTAAGAACACCAAAATCCAAGGGAACCCTCCTGCAAACTTCGAAGCTGTTCCAGCTGAAAGGTCACAGACTGCTCTCTGCCTCACACTGAAAGCCAAGGATACCAGCAGGCAGTGCTGAAGGCTCATCAAAAGGAGGATCAGCAGACAGTGTTAGAGCACAGGAGTGACAAGTACCATCAGCTACAAAGGAAGGGCTAGTGACATTAGTTAAAGCATACTTATTGTACCCAGTCCAGCCAGCACCATCTGAGCTGAGGCCGGAGAACAGTGTCTGCAAAGTGGCTCAGTGATGTTGGTCCCTGTTAAATGGGAGACCGTCTTGCTGGTTTGAAGATTTTAAACCAAAGCAGCAGGAGTGATGCAACTAAAACCCAAAGGAAGTGGTAGAGTGGGTTAAGAAGAGATGGTGTTCCTCTCCAGCTGTGAGATAGGTAGGTGCAGTCTTTGCCAGTTTATGCCCCCTCAGGTGCTGGAAGTGAAACCGTGCTGCTCCGGTAAGCAAAGTCACGAGATCCTGTAGCATCCCTGATCCCAAACTTGCTTCTCCTGTTGAGGAGGAAGGGTGGCTTTACTCCAGTTCAGCTGCTAGAAGTTGGGTGAGGAGTGATTGAAGAAGTCCTGGGTTTTATCATTGGTTTACCTGTCCCCACCAATAAACTTGGTAGGGGACCACGAGACTGGGCCATTAACAGCCGGTGCCGAAGCCCTCTTCAGTCCCCAGGTGGAAGGGGGAGTTGATAGGAGGGTTTTCCAGTCAAGTGTGAAAGCTCAGCTATAGCATTTCACATTGGTTGTCATCAGACAAAGTGCTTTCCTGAAGTGTTCAGCCCTCAGGTATTCAGGCTAGGGCAAAACCTAGCTACCACTGCCAACAGTGAGGATTGGTGCAAAGGTGCCACTGGTCCTAGCTAAACAAAACAAAAAAACATGAATGAAACAGAAAGGGAGACAAAAGAAAACAAAACAAAAAAAAAAGAAAAAGCCCTAGAGCAGGTATTCACTGGGAAGTTGAGGGGGAGAAAATAAAATCACATTTTGTTTTAAAATTATAAATACTCTCCATATAAAGTTATTAAATAACTGTGGCTGTGGTGAGTTCCAGTGATCCTCCTAAGCAGTGTCTGGTAGTCTTTAAAAAGTGATCTTTACTCCCCATCTCTCTTGCCCTTGGTTTAAGTGCAGCAGGGGTTGTCAATGACTAGCATAACATCAATGCCATACACTTCCAGCAAGTCCATAAGGAAACTTCGATCCCCTTGGGGATCCAGGCCCATGCCTCGTGCGTGGTCAGCTGTCAGTGTCTTGTCCTGGCTGGCTGACACCTCCATCAGCGTCTGAAATATGCGGTTGTTCTGCTCCATGAAAAACCTGTAGGGTAAAGTCAGCAAAGGTGATAGCATTGGACCTCCAGAAAAGCAGCATATTTACCAAACAGGCTGCAGAGCCCCAGAACGGCATTTAACTGCCTTTAACCAGAGATCCCAACTTCTTGGGTGATCCTGTAGTTTTCCACTCCCCTATGGATGACCCGAAATAAACAAAGCACTAGCTTTTCCTTTACAGTGGTGTTTCCCTCTGTCTGGTTTATGGGAGGCATTTCCCTTCTCAGAATCAAGGCATGTTATCAGCTAACATGTGCCTTGTGGTCACCAGCTGGGTGAATCAGACCTATATCTCCCATAATGTAAATGAGGAAACAGTGTTGTCACCCATCTATTAAGCCAGTGGGTAAATGAATTCTCCTGGTGCAGAACACACCAGTGAGAACTACTTCTTACCTCTTGCTTTCCTAGAACCATGCAGGGCTATTCAGAAATAGCTCTGACTGCATCCCTGCAGCTCAGTGATCAGAGCCCTGCCCCAACAGTCCTTCACACAGTTTCATCCCATTTCTTCTCACCTGCTGCAGACTGTGAATAGCAACAGGCAGGGAAGGGCTTCAGAGGTGGTGGACGTGTGGTCTTCATCTAATTCCGTACCTCCTACTCTACACCCAGTTCTGGTCTCTGTCTTTGCCAAGTGCAATACCAGCCACATCAATGGGCCAGTCCTTCACATGCAGGTCTTATCTCCACACTGTACAGCCCCTAGCATGGTACAGTGCCTGCTTCTCATGAACATTGTCCTTTCCTGAACCAAATGTTCTGGCAAGAAAAGTCCTATAGTGCTTGTTTTCAAAAATGGGAGGGGATTCTTGTATTTCTGATTGTGTTTTTAAAATTCACTTCTCCCTCTCTGCACTTAAGAGACCCTAGTAAGTACTAATACAGCTGCATTGGCTTCTCAGAAGGAAAGGAAAATGATCTGAAGAGGAAGAACCGGTTGGGGAAGAAAGCTGACGATGGAATTATGTTAAACATGATGTTTCGTAATATGGCAAACCAGTGCAACATGAAATTACTACAGGAGTCTCCCTAAACCTAACAGAGACCAAGTATCAAGAGATAGCCACTCACAAGATGAAAAGGTCCTCTTCACAGGAGCTGCAATCCTCACCCACTTCTTGAGAATACATTAACATCTGCCTGAGAGAAGGGAGACAGATTCATTGCACAAGTGAACCTCAGAGCATTATGTGAAGACCAGAATCTCCCAGAGATGAGCTGAAGCAGTGGAATACTTTGAAAATACCAAGACAAGGAATAGAGTACAAAGGAGCAGTGTCCTCTTTATCACACAGCTCTCCTTTCAGGATCAGGACCACCCAGACATCTGTTATTACCTCTGGTCGTTGAGCCGTCGGTACTTCTCCTTGTCAGCATTGTTAATTTTCAGGAGTGGCTGCAGATGCTCGTGATGCGTCTTTACATTCTGGTTGTCCACATAGACATCATAGAGATCCCGTTTCTGCTCAAAGATCTTTTCTGTTGTACCTGCCAAAATCAGAGGAGATTTTCAGAGCAGCACGTTGCTTTCCCAGCAGACCAGCTGTTCTTTCCTGCTCTCATAGTTAGTCATTCCATGCACAACCTATTTCTCATCAGTTTTATTCCACAGTCTGGTGTCTCAAGGCATTTTTGCAGCCTGAAGTTAAAAACATCACACCTAATCCATCATACTTACAGGCCACGTATGATACTTCTGTCTCCAGCATTTCTATGTCTGCCACATTCACGTAGAAGAATGGTTTGGACTCTGGGACAGTTCCTCCAAGACCAGGCAGAGAAACATTTGCAAGGCAACAGCAGCAATACACTGCAGACAAGAGAAGCACATCCTGAGATGCTTTTGGTTTTCCCTCAAGGGCAATCTGAACCCCACTTACTCAGCCCTCCCACACACTTCTATGGAAACAATGGTTAGAGCTCTGAAAGCTGAAGAGCTTCTCAAGTGACAACAACCTGTTTTGGATAGGAAATAATCGGTTCTCTTGTAGGAATCTCATGTTCTGGATTCCACAAATTCAGTCAGTGTTCTTATTGTCCTGTACCAACAGGAACTGTGTTTGACAGTGCCAAATACGTTCTTACTCAAGAGGGCTGAAGAAAAGCATTTTGTAGGAAAGGCTTAAATGCAGAGTGAATGGTATCTTCATGAGGAATGGTCACAATGGATTTTGAAGACCTGCATGATGTCTTTTCCCTCAGTACCCACAGGCATTTCTGCAAAGCTTCAGCCTACTAGATCAGAGCTCTGCAGTGTCCCTGGAAACATACCTCTATAGCAGACAACTCCAACCGGGGGTGGTGAAAATATCAATATGCGCTTGCGCAGCAGGGCAAACTTCCAGAGGACAAGGATCTGCTCACCGAAGAATTTGATGAACTGAGACATACAGCCAGCAGGGTGTGTGATCTGCAGGTGGAGGGAAAGGGAAGAAAACAGCTCAGAGGTCAAACAGGGACACATGCACAGATGCTAAGTCTAAATGTGGGAGCAAGACCAGCACACAGCTTGTAACAGTCCAAGTAACAAAATCTTATCTAAGGCAGCCTACAAAGCGCAGGAGTGACTGCTTACATAAAGACGTATGAGACACCAGCGAGGAGCAGCAGCGCTCTGACCGCTCCTGCAGGCCTCAGAGCACCTGCCTCACCTTCATCTCTGGGTACATGTATCTGTGGATGGAAGGCAGCCAGTGGACAGGTTGCTGAGAGCCGGGGGTACCCTTGCTGTCAGGGAGAACTCCTTTCTTGTCATCATAGAACGCCTCGAGATGGGAGTAGTGCCCTGGCATCTCCAGCTGGTGTCTGGAAAAGAAAGGAAAAAAGGGGAGATCTGTAGTGTCTCCAGACTATTTATTTAGTGCCTTGCCCTCAGCCAACATCTGATCTCCCAGCCAGAAGGGGTCCCAAGTGCCTCAGTTGCACAAACTCATCCAGGAGGGCAGACAAAGTGTCAGGATTGACCAGCAGCTTTCAGTGCAGCCAGAGAACACGGGCAGGACTGATGCCAGCAGCGAGCTGGTGTATGCACAGTACTGATCCTGTTTTCAATACACTCAGGTAGGAACAGTTTTCTTTTCTACCGTCACCATTTTCCCTGCTAGATCCACTCAACACACCTGAAGTACACACCTAGCCAAGATCACCATCATAGGTTTAGAAGGCTTTTGCAAGCCCTTAGTAAAATGGTTTTCAGAAGGACAAAAGGGGAACTTCTTGTCCTCTCAACTCTCCCTGGGACAATTATGTCCACATAAAGTAAGTAGGGCTTGGATAGCATTTCACTAGCCTGTTAGCAAAGAACAGACTGCTGCTAATTGCTTCCTTATCTCCTTCACCTTGTGAACCTGCAGCACTTTCTGGAGAAATAATCATTCAAGGAAATCACAGCACAGCATTGTAGACGAATCTCACTCAACGCCTAAAACTGCCTTCCACAGAGGCTACATTACCTCTCCCAGTCTAGGGAGTGGCCAGTCCCATTCCCAAGGGAACTTACCTGACCTGGTTCTCCAGGAAGTGCATGTACCTATACAGCAGAGTGTAGGAAGGGGAGAGGATCCCCACAGACTTCATGCGGGCACCACGCTCTAACTCACTCTCCACAGGCATGTTGGCAAAGCAGGCCAGGCCAAAACAGAGCCCTTTCCGGAAATAACTGGAGACAGATGTTTGACAAAAGGGTTAATGTTAAAAAGAGGAAAAAAATGGAGAATGAAAGGCAACTCACTGCTAAAAATACTGATTTGGGAACACAGTTTCTTCTTTAAGGAATTCCCTGAAATCCCACCCTACTATCTGAAGGGCTGAGGACAGGCCTTGGGTGCCCCAGTCATCTCAGGAACAAGACAGGATATTTAAGGCAAGAGTGCACTAAAGCTCCTACCAGCCACATCACAGGCCAATAAGGAATGCAAATAAGGAAATAACTTGGAAGGAAGACTAAGAGAGGATGCACTCAGTCAATGCAGTGTCCTCCCTCCAAGGAAGAAGCCTGCAGTGCATGCAGTTCTGAGTACAGTCTAGCTACCTACTCATATTTTGTGTGCCAGCATATTGAAGCACACTCTAGTTGACTGCAAGGGTTCAGTTTATGCACCTTTGAGAAAGTAACTGTTCTTCCTGCCCAAAAGGAATTGTGACACTGCAGTTCATTGCAAAACTTTGCTGCATTGCAACACTGGGTTAGCAAAATGCACAAAATTCTTATGCTGAAGGAAGGAGCTAGCAAAGAAGAAAGCAAGCAAGAACTGTTTATCAGAACCTTTAAAGGATCCAAAAGCACTGGCAGAATTAAGAACCTTTTTCTAAGACCTGTTTCTACAAAATCCTTCCCATTTCAGTTCTGTCGTTCTTTCCCCTTCCCCTAGTCCTCTGCTGAGAGTCCCAATAGTGGCAGTGCAGTGTAATTTGCCCCATACACATTAAAATTTGCACCCCACTGAGAAGCTGGCCTGCCCCATTCACCAGTTGGCCTCCACAGCCAGAGCTGTCATACAGCAGATCCCTGCATCTAGCTGGTACTTGACACAGTGCTGAAAGTGTCTGAAAAGTATCTTTGGCTCATCTAGAAACAGTTCAGCAGCACATTTATGCAGGAACTTAACTTCCTGGATGGTATTTTTGCTTGCATTTTCTGAATTAAGGGATGGTGGTGTTAGATGTACAACTACAAAAAGGAAGAAGCAACATAACATAGCTCAGACATACTCACATGAAATCTGACTGGATTTTGTGGGACCCACTTGCCATGGATTTGAATTCCACGCCTTCCAAATCTATGTCTTGGGGTAAACACCACTCCACCATGTTACCTGCAGAGAAGCAAAGTTATTTGGGTAAGCTTGAATACAGTACTCATTTCTAAAGTGCAAAGAGCATCAACAGCAGGTTGTTGCTTTTATAACACTGGGATGCCAGCAGTGTGCCCTAACACAGCTCCTGAACCCCTAAATTGACAGTAGCTGACATACAATACTCCATGCGTCTCATGCAAATTTTTTACTGTTGTAACTCAGATATTGCAGGACTTTTGGGGTCATTTCTGAAGCCAGTGCTAGACTAGGGGCTTATACTTGATAAGCCTAATCACAGAGCAGCTACAATTTTACCTGACAGTGGATAAGCTTTGGTCTACATGAGTGTCCCATACAGAAAGAACCCAAACTATAAACGGTTGCTCTTTAGGATGAGTTTTTGTGGTAGCTCACACCACCACCAATACTGTCCTTTGGCTTTGCTTGGCAGGGCTGGTCAAACAGGAACCCCTAAGCCATCCTTCCAGTCATCACTACTTCCCTGAAACCTCTCCTATTTTCTTTAGGATAGAAGGAGTTAGTTGAAGCTTCATGTGCAGGCTGAGGCAATCCACGTACTGCAATGTGTTTGTGCATGCTAGAATAACCAAACAAAAAAGCACATAAACTACAAGCTAGATCAAGATTAGCAAACATCTGTCACCTGCCAAGCCAGCCACAAAGCGTGCAGTTGTTCAGGGGAAAAGGCCACCTGAGGAGCCTGATCCTGGAACAGATGATATCAGAGAAGTCACAAAATGTCCCTAAAGCAAATGAAGCCCAGCAGCAAGTTTACCACAGACAAAAAAAGGGGTGAATTCTCACGCTTTCCCATGCCAGCATTTCAGAGCCTCATCCGCTTACCTGGGCACTCCCGCTGCACCAAGCTGTGCTCCAGGGTTACCCACATTATTTGAAATAATGTGGTTTAGTTTTAAAAACCAAGGCAAACAAACATTCTTCAGTATAATGCAATGGCAGATGCAGCACAAAGGGGCTTCCTACAGGTGCAGTCCTTCCCCTGCCCTTTGGGGTGAGCATTCCAGCTGTGCTTGCACCAACAGCACACATTTGGAAGGGCCTTACACTCAGCTGAGACTCTTGGAGATATCTAAATATGAGGCCTCATTTATGAAGCCTGTCTTTTGTCTCATTACTCATACTGCACAAGTATATGCCTGCATTCTCACACAGGAATTGGGCTTAGCTACTGACATTTAAATAGGCTATTTTTCTTCACACATAGATTCTGTATTCAGCAGACCTCCCCCAGCCCTGCCTGGCAAGGACTTCAAAAAAAACCAGCAGCGTTAGGCATGGCAACAGGAGAAGTTTGCATCCAACTAACCACACAAGGAGACCTCTCCCGCAGAGCCGGGCTGGCCGGGGAGCAGCAGGAGCCTCGTGACCCCGAGCCCAGCTCTGAGAGATCACACGCGAAACCACAGAGCTCTGCTGTGAAGCGCCTTCGCCTCTGAGGCGTGTGAAAGGCTGGCAGGGAAAGCCAATGACATCATGTCAGCCTGCGCGGTCCCCTGAAGGTTTTGCATATTATATATAGATGGTGGCTTTTGTTGTTTGGGGTTTTGTGGGTGGGAGGGGGCTGTTTGCTTTTCTTTTTAAAGGCACAAGGCCCTTCCTTGAAAGAGTGAGGAACTCAGCTCTTGAGACTGTCTCTTGTCTCTTAACCACAGAATTGCGGTTAAGGCCAGATCTGCTTTTAAGCCTTGCACCAGAGAGGATCATTTACTGGTAGATTACCTGTAGATTAACAGATCGATATACAAGAGTGCCATCAGCAGCAAAGGGAATTGGCTTTGCTCAGTTTAGTCACAAGCACTGTCAGGTGTCATATCCACTGCAGAGGTGTCCAAGTGGACGTGGCTCAAACAATGTCTGTTCTGTAGCAGTTATGAGGAAAGGACGCCTTGAAACAGATCTTTGCCCTACATGTGACCACAAAACCAACTCACATATCGTGCAGCTTTTTTTTTTTTCTGGGATCTGTCAGGAGCAACCTGCACCTGCACTCCTGGCTGTTCCTCACACCACCGTGCCCTGGGAACACACGGGCGACGTGGCAGTCGGAGAACAAACGCAGAGATGAAAAAAATAAGAAAGTTGGTCTGGTGAAACAGCAGAGCAAACAAAGGAGAGACTTCACCCAGATGCGATAGCGACTGCCAGCCTGCCTGAGAAACCGGAGGAGGGAGGAGGGAGCAATGTTGCAGAAAAACAGGAAGCATTGCCCTTTCCCGTGGAGAAAGCAGGTCTCGTGCACACAGGAAACTTTCCAAGTGAGAGTGACCCAGTGTCAGAGAGCGGGTGAGTGATTTTGCTGAGAGTCAAATCTGTGGATCTGATCTCTTGGGAGCCATCTCCCAGCCTCAGGTCAGGTCAGAACCAACACTCAGTTTCTGGTGTGCAAAGTTTTGGATGTTCTTCCTCTTTCTGCTGTATTTTCTTTCCACTCGATTTTCCCATCCTTACAAAAAAGATAGTTGCACTAGCATTTGGGGATCATCACCTGGCCCTCCTCAGCATTAGATGTTTCCCAAGAGCTTTAGGGTCCCCAGCTGTGCAGTGCTACCATGTTGTGCCAAGACAGGAGAAGCATAAAGTATGACCTAGCCATACACTGGCTCTATTTCCTGCATGGAAGAAATGTGGGACAGAAAAACAGAATATTTGCATGTTCACTGGTGCCAAACAGATTACTTCTCTCTCTTCCCTCCTTGTCTCTCTCCATTACATACATTACAGACTATGTGGGACCTCCACAGAGTTGATTATTACCATCTCCCCTGCAGTAGTGGTGAAGAGAGCTCCTTCTCAAGTGCCACAAGGTTCACCATGCTGGAGCTGAGAACAGCACCACTGATTTAGAAGCTGCCTCTGACTCTTAAGTTCAGTCACTCACACGAGCCCTGACACAGTCACAGGGACAGAACTGTAACAGTGACCTGGCAACCCCACAACTCACCTTGTGAACTCATCACATGCTCCACTGCTGTACACTGAGCTCGTCTGCTTCAAGCCCTTCTAAATTCAGGAGTAAAGCCGTTACATTCTTTATTGGCATAGTCACCACTTCATCCTTCTGCAGTAAAACATCTCCTGCCCAGTTGCTCTCCTAGTTGAGCAGACATTACCTGGCATAACTACCAGCCCAGCCACCACCAGAGATGCTGCCTTTCATATGCCTCAGCAAGCTGCCAGAGGAGGTCTGCTGTGCTCGTCCTGGCCAGGATCAAGCAGGTTTTCCAGCTCAGACACTAACTGGATGATTTTTTTTTAAGTCACACACAAGGTCCAGATACTCTTACGAACATCACAGGAGTCCTTCACACCATCTGATGTGGTTGACCCAGGAATTGCCATATCCTCTTTCGGACCCTAACAAGTTCACACCACTCAAGATCTTTTTTCCAGGTCCACATCCTTCACAAGGCACTTTGCTCTCCACCTGTGAAGCTGACATGTGTACCTCACAGTCCTGTCCTGCTCCTTACATTCATCATCCATGCTGAGTAGCAGCTGGAGGATGAATCTTCCTGGACTTGACAGACTACTCCAAGGCTGATGACACCCAGCATTAACTGCACATCACATGTGAGAAGAGCTGTTTCCCAACTTTCCCTGGACTTCATTCAAAGCAACAGCTGGTTCAAACAAACTCCTGAAAAAGCTCAGCTTTCTGCCAACCAAGAAAATCTCACCATTTCGTAGAAGGCATATGCTCTCAGATTGAAAGACAACCTTCTGTTGCTGCAATCATCCAGACTCTTTCATGTTTTGGATACTTAGGAGAAACACCTCCCCTTCCCATCTCCTGTTGGAAAGATGGCATCCAATCTCATTTTGGATTTTGAAAAGTCAAGAGCCTCTGACCTCTAAACTGAAGACACTTCCTCTGGTGCAGTATGGAAGGGATTACTTCTTGAAAGCCCTTGGGCGTTTGAGGACATAGCAGCCATGCTGTCTGGCAGTGTGCATTTCTGACAGCACATCACACCTGGGGCTTCCTTCTCTTCACTGCTTTCTTAGGATTTTCTGTTCAAGATCAGCATCCAGTCTTTACTATCTGGGCCCTCTTGTGAGCATGATGTCTGTGACCTTCCCCTTCCACTGAAGAACAAACCCTACTGTGCTTCACAGAGCTCTTTCCTGTCTCTAGTACTTTTGCTATGGATTTGCTAAGGAAGTGCCTGTCTACAGAGGAAGGAGGAGCTCGCTCCCACACCTGGATGCAAATGGGCTCCTGAATCTCCCAAGCTGATTCCTAAACTTTCTCACTGTACCAAGTCTTTCAGCTATGCACCACTCTTGCCTTTTTACCCCAGGCTGGCACCTGGCAGCCAGAAGACCCAACAATCTGTCTCAGGACATCAGATCCCTGCACACAGTAGTACCCGTGCTCACAGGTGCCAGGCAGATGCTAACTTCCTATCTGTGTCATAACATCCTGTTTCTGGATACCGCTGGAGCACAGGACTAGGAAAACAAAGTTAAGACGTTTTCTGAAATGCTGATTTACAGATTTGAAATAAACAACCTCTGTCAGTAAAAGAAGTGATAAAACACCAAGGTCCAACAGCGCTGAGGGAGATGGATATGGCAGCAAAAAGTGGAAAATACATTCCCTTGCTGTTCTCCTGTGCCCTCCTGGATTGCAGCACTCCAAAGCACGAAGTCCCAGAGATCCTAACAGAGGCCAGCATCTAAACACGCTGGTCACTAAGAAATACACAGCCGAGCTGCTGCTGCTGCCGCCGGGAATCGTGCTCTGCGAGCCTGCCGGATTCACGCCTGCCACAACCACCATCCATCACCGATAGCTGCGGGCAGGTCTGCGCCACGCCACGGAGACAGAAGGATGCTCTCAAGATGCTCTAACAGGTTGCTGCCCGCCGGGCAGCGGTGACCAGAGGCTCGGCCTGAACCTGTGGGGGGCACAGCGGGTGCCCCAGCGCCGTCCCCAAAATCCCTGTGCCGTGACCCGCTGTGGGGTAGAGACACCTGTCCCTCTCCTCGGAGCGGCGCCAGGCGAGGCGCCTTCCTCCCGCCAGAACTTCTTCTCGGCGGGATGGAGACCAAACGCAATCTCTCTTGTGCTCCGTTTTCGCAAACGCCCCCGGCCCCCGCGGTCCCCCGTGGGGACAGGGGGTAGCCCAGCTCCCGCCGCCCGCTCTCCGCTGGCTCCAGCGGCGCTGGCGGGAGCGGTCCTCGGGAGGCGGGATGCGGGGGGAGCGGTCCCCGAGGGATGCCCGGCCCTGGCCGCATCCATCTTACTCCGGCGGTGCCGGGAGCCCCAGGCCCGGCCCGCCCGCGCCGCGGCGCCGCTCACCCGTGCGGGGGTCGAAGGTGACCACGAAGACGGCCACGATCTGGTCCTCCTCCGCCTCCGCCCGCGGCGGCCCCGCCGCCTCCGCCGGCCCCTCGCCGTCCCACGGAGCCGCGCTCCAGCCGCCGCCGATCCGCCGCCCGCCGCTGCTGCTCCTGCCGCCGCTGCCCGGCTCGGCCGCGGGCGGCGGCGCCGACACCGCGGGGCCCTCGGCCCAGAACAGCAGCGGTGCCTCGTCCGAGCGCTCCACCATGGCCGGGCCGGGATGGGGCGAGCCGAGCCGAGCCGAGCTGAGCCGAGTGGAGCTGAGCCGAGCCGAGCCGGGCTGCGATGCGCCGAGTGGAGCGGAGCTGAGATGAGCCGATCCGAGCCCAGGTGAGCCGGGATGGAGCGGGTGGAGCGGAGCTGAGCCGAGCCCAGCCGAGCCGGGCCGCGCCAATCCGAGCCGCACCCCCCGCGCCGCACCGGCGGGGGGCGGGGCCGCGGGTGGCCACGCCCCTCAGGGGCGGGACGGGCGGGGTATCTGATGGGATCGAACCGGGGGGCGGTGCCTGACTCCGAGGGGCGGGGCTTCCCGGGGAGATCCCGGCGGAAATCCCGGCTCTGCTCCGCCGTGGCAGCAACCGGAGGAGCACGGGAGGACTGGGGGCAGTCGGCTCCGGTGTGCTTCGCCTGCTCCCACTGCCCGCCTTCTGTCCCTCCAGGCTCTGTCCTCCGTGCAGGAAAGCTCCGGGGGGCCCTGTCGTGGCCACCCTACCGGGGCAGCCAAGGGAGTTGGGCAGAGCAGCCTCAGGATCAGGAACAGAGCAGGCTCACACAGCCCCAAACTACTGCAAGCCCCAAGTCTGAAGGAGTCAGGGATACTGATCCAGTATATATTGATATGTATATATATATATATATATACACACATACATCATATATATATGATACGAATATATATGCACAAATGTGCTACAGGAGGATATGAAACATTTTTAGAAGGAACTGGCAGAATCAGCTCAATTTTGAAAGATGGAGACACAAGCATGACCAAGGCATCCACAGGCAGCCAACTTTTTGTAATTACCGTCCTCGTTATGCTACCACCAATGTCATTAAGTGTCATTAGGTTTAATTTGGTTCCCTAGGTCTTCCTGATTAATTGAATTACCCAATTAAGCAGGCCACAATTAAAAGGAAGATATTGTCATAAAAGCCTTAATTGTCCAACTTTTTTCCTGTTGAGCAGCTCTGCGCGTTCGATACGCCATTAAGAAACCCATCATTCAGCTTCCTCAGCAGTGGGATTTGGTTTTTTCCTTTTTTTTTTTTTTTTTTTTTTTTTGGTATCATTAGCATCCATTTGCTGTGAGCTTCATTTCATCCAGCTCCAACACTGAGTGGGCATTTTGTTTCACAGAGTCCATGCACAAGTTTACTTTGCAGAGCTGTAGACCAGAGTAGGTGGTGTTTAGCAGATGGAGTTTTTCATAGAAGGTGACTGGTAAAGAAAAAAAAAACACAAACCCTGTAAAATATTTTGTTACTGTATAAAGAAAAACCAGATTTTGCAAATACTTGGCCACATGCTTTGCTTTAACCATATAGACAGTGCCAAGCTTCATTTGGGTAAATATATTTTTGCATGTTGGCGATGCTAAAGTGACAGCTCATTTCTCTCTTCTCCTTCATGCCCATAAACGTCAGTCCCCAGTGATCCAGACAGGAAACAAATCCCAAATAAGAATTCCTCCATGATCCACATGAGCTGTTTGTGATGCAGAGCTCTTCCTGGTCCCCTCTGCAGTGCAGTCACACCAGGGTTGTCCCAGCTTGAGGGAGAGGATGCAGTGGGAAGAGCAGCCAGTGACAGGGAGCAGAGGCTGCCAGTGCTGGCCCCAGGATATGTGAAATGTCATCACTGTCTGAGCTCTTGGATTTTGGTGAAAAAACCCCATGGGACAAGAGATCTGGAGGCACCACAGCTATTCATACTGCTTTGGCCAGCAGTCTGGGCCTGCTGAGGGCACACTGTTTCCTGGATACACGCAAAAACCAAAGGCCACATTTACTACTTTATTATTTCACCAAAATTGGAAAGATCAGGCCAGGGGATATAACCCTTTTAGAAGAAAAAATAAAATGAACACCTATTCCCTCCAACCAAAGGCTAAGAAAATTGTCATTAGATCTTTGGGTAGTCCTCCAGAAAAAATATGAAATGAAAATGTAGTGGCTTTTATTTTGAAGATGCAAGGTGAACAAGTTGGGCCTTCTTTAAACAGCAGCTTTTCTCCTTTATGTATCACATCCCTCCTGAGAAAAATTGATCCCAAGGGAAACAAAAAAGAAAAAAAAATAAAATTTTTTTTTCAGGTGGGATTGAAACTGTGGTCTGAGGGAGTTTCATTGCTGGGTTATTGATGAACGTGTAGTTATGGGGACTAAAAACATTATTTCTTCAGATTTAAGATAACATATTCCAACCCAACACTCCAAGTGCTGAACATCTAATTAATACTGTCAGCTCACAGCAGTGCTGAAGTGGTCCTGGATCTCAGCTGGCCAGATGCTGCAGAGACAGCTCGTCACAGCAAACAGCAGCCAGCGCTGGCACTCCCGGGCTTTTGGACCTCGCTCAGGGTAAGGCACGGGGAGACACAGCAGCTGCATTTCAGGCTCAGAGAGGCTGCACAGCAGCAGCTGGCCCTGTGCCTGCAAGAAACACTAGGAATACAAGAAATGCTGGCTCTCTGAGCCAGAAGCAACCAGTGCTGAGTTCTTGGCATGTCCTCCTGGTACTGTTTTGGGCGCCTGTATCAAATGTTCATCACAGTCTTAACAGGCAACTTCAGGGACCCATATGGACATACTTTTCATTCAAACAAAGGGTTAGGAGAGCAGAGAGACCTCAGACCAATATGTGCCTTTATGTTCTGGTGGGAATTTTCCTTGGTGTGTGCATAGGAAAGCAGTTGCTGGTTCTGACAAACCCCCGTCTTGTCTGGGCTGCAGCCACTTCCAGTTTCTGCAAGTCCCTCTAGCAGTTCTCCTCCACGCTAAAAAAAAGGCTGCTGTAACCTTGCTCCCAGTCAGTTAAAACTCTCTCTAGTCCCTCTTCGAAGCTCAGGCTCACAAAGACACAGAAGATCCCTGTTTTTTAGAGAGAAGTGCAGTGAGAGGAGACATTGATCTGCCCCCAGTGAGCCACCCTACCTGAGGGGCTGCCTTCACCAACACAGCCAGTTTTTCCCTCCTCTCCCTTGAAACCTCAACATGGGAACCCATATGAAAACCTGTGTGTGGCTCCTAACTCTCTCCTGAAGTCTTATAAATCATACAACTATGAATTTATACATTATAAATTACTGACCCCTCCTCGCAGGCTGCAACTCTTGCCCAAATTAACACACATCTAAGTGCAGGAAGTGAAATTCAGACCTAAAAGAAGGAAGTACAGTGCCCCATCACCAAAAGACTAACAACTTAAACAAGTAAAGCCCACAAAGACTGGATCTCTGATGGGATTATCATGGGGCAGAATGGCTGTCAGCAAACATCATCCCCCTCACAGGCCCCAGGAAGCTGGAGAAGGGAGGAGTGTGCAGAAACAAGGAGATGACTCAGATTCAGAGGGAGCTCTGGCTCCCTACAGAGCTGGTTGCAGGCACAGCAAACCCACATCCACAGCAAAACCCCTCATCCACCAGGCAACTGTGGACAGGTGCTGCCAAGCTCCAGATGTTTCCCATTAGCATTGGCTCAGGTGTTTGGGGTGGTTATAAAAGTTCCAGGGGAGGAGAAGGGCTCTTTGGGGCATATCTGGTAGTTCTTCAGGGCACCCTCTGCTTTTACAGCTGTATGTACCATGGGTTCTTTTTCTCTGGTTGAGAAATTTAAGGTAGAAAAGGGTGAGGGGAGGATTGGTGTGTGTTGTTTTTTAGGATGGGATGGCTTTGTTTCTCTGTGTGATGAGAACAGTGAATGAAATATTGGTGGATGGAGGAGTTCTCTTGGAGCTGTACTGGGAAAAGTAGTGGCTTCTGAGTCGTATCTGACTTGCACCAATAAGACAAAAGGCAAAATCTGTTGTTACATGAGCAGTAGCTGAATGGGTTTGTACTTGGTAATTCTGGGGTACTCTTTGTTACCTAAGGCTGTCTAATGACACCTATGAGTGATTAAGGCTTCTGTGTTTGAGGGATTGGGGTGGGGGAGTGCATTCAGCAGAACCGATGTCCTTGATGAAGCAAGCAAAAAGATAGTTAATGTGTGTAAAAACACTGTCTTCTTCTGCCCTTCTCCCTCTTACAAAGCAGGCCAGTGTCAGCTATACCTGCTGTGTCTCATTGTGGTGACATGGGTGACTGGGACAACAGTGACGAATTTGTTCAGCGGCTGGATTTTTCCAGTTGTGGTGAAGAGAGTGAAGACAGAAGCGTAAATGAGGAGGACTCTCTGAGCTTGACCCCTCCCAGGAGGTCTGAGTTCCAGAAGTGGCAAGAGAGTAGTCCTCTGCCAGCAACCCCCCCTCAGAGAAAGTTTAGTGAGATTTTCCTGAGCAGGACGAAAGCCTGGGTGAGTCCCACCCTGAAGGCTTCCCCAGCCGTGAACAAGACCTGGGGCAGAGCCGAGACACCACTGCACATCCCCTGGAAAAAGCTGCAGCTGTGTGACACCCCCCACACTCCCAAGGTAATGGCATGTATCAACTCTCTGCCTGAGCAGTCAAGGTGTTGCTGTGGCATCACTGTGTGGTTGGTGAGGGGATCTGTTTCCAGCTCTGTGGAAAGCTTTTTTAATTACTGTTGAGAGCTTGTACTCTTCCTTTAGAAAACTAGACCACGAACTAAGGAAGGATTGTTCTATGGGTGTGAGTAGAAACCTGTGTGTGGGAGCAATTGTCTTGACTCTCTTTAAAGATGTTGTTAAAACCAATTAGTTGGTATTGAGTCAGTCTGACTTAGAAAACCCCAAGCAACCATGTGCTTTGGCTATCCCTGTGCACTTCACACTCTGCTTAGGGGAGTGGATGTCTATAGCATCTCTGTAGGAGATAAATGCGTCTCCCTTCAGGAAGCTCCTCATTCTGTGGGGAGCTTGGAGATAGGCAGCTGCCCTTACTGCTCTGTTCAGCACATGTTTGTTTGCAAGTGGGTTTTCTCTTGAAAGTTGGAAATGTTGTGGCTGGGATGTACTTTATGTGGCAAGTCTGGATCACTTATCTACAGAGCTAGTTTCTTAGGAGAATGATCCCAGCCTCTATTTCCCGTGAAACTTCTTGCACAGAATATAATACAACTCATTTTTTGTCTTCTGTAATCACAGATGGAGACTTAGCACCAGCTTCTCTGTTCCTAGGTAATTTTTAGGGTGTGCACTGGCTCCTTGCCATCAAGATTTGTACCTCTTGGTCCTTCTCTCAATATTTCTGCTCTACTGATGGACTGGTTACTCCT